TTATCCTTCATGAAAGGGAATGTCATTCCAAAAATGGGGGATCAAATTACAAATGAACGTGAGAGATAGCACCTACCACATTCGTTTCTCCATATACATGTTTCCATAATGTTCACAGTGCTTGCATTCAATTGTGCATGTATATGTTTATGAATTTGATTTATATTTACACAAGTGCAGATTCTATGGATGTACAGACTCTGCACCTTCACAGCACTGCAGATGATATATGATGCACGTGTAGTGACATCGCGGATACCACAGTGGTGTGTGTGTAGTGATACCGCCAGATGGCTCCACGACTTGCGTGCAGTGCTGACCCTACAAGACAGGGTGTGTGGGTGCCAACCGTAGGATGAGGTTACTCGAGGCCATGGCACTCCACTTGACCCGGGTGGACACGTGACCAGTTAAGTCTGCAAAGGGGCCCCAGGTGGGGGCTGGTCACGTGATTGGGACTCTGATCCTTCCCCAGGATTCTGGAAGGTGGGCGTGACCAAAGGTGGAGCCGGCCACGTCACAGAGAATATAAGCCGGGTCCCGAGAGGGGCCGGGATTGTTGTTCATCCTGGAAGAACCCTTCATCTACGATCTCCGTTCAAAGAGTCTCGAACACGTGAACCCGGGTCGAAGCCGTTGGTCCGGTCCGTAGTAGCAGTTACGTAGTGACTAGTAGTGTAGTTAGCCTGGTGGTCACCACCTTAGGTTGTTATTCTGTTAAGGGGAAAGCTACCTCGTGTGTTGGAACTGAATAAATGTGTTGCCTCTACGTCTGCGACTCAGTTGAACCCATTATACTTGTAAACATACATTATATAGATCCTTTTCAGTCTGTATTAGATCAGGTCTGTGTAAATATATATTACGTGAAGGGACAAATACGGAAATTAGGAATATTGTAAGTTTAGTAATGTCGTGATTTATATTCTCGAAAAACATGGCTTTCACTATTTTCTTATATCCTGTATTTAGAGTCGATCGAATCATTTGTCGACACATTAAAAAGGATATTATCATTTCAACAACTGATAAAACATGGCGCCCAGTCAAGGATTTGAATCCTGGACCCTCAGATGTCTATTGACATGAAGTCACATTCCTCTTAAAAGTCTGATGCTCTACCGACTGAGCTAACCGGGCTCTGAGTGACTCTCATTAAATTATCCTTCATGAAAGTGAATGTCATTCCAAAAATGGGGGATCAAATTACAAATGAACGTGAGAGATAGCACCTACCACATTCGATTCTCCATATAAATGTTTCCATAATGTTCATAGTGCGTGCATTCAATGGTGCATGTACATGTTTATGAATTTGATTTATATATGGCCAAGAATTTGTTTTTATAGATTTACTCAAGTGCAGATTCTATGGATGTACAGACTCTGCACTTTCACATCACTGTAGATGATATATGATGCATGTAAACATACTTTCTATAGATCCTAATGAGTCTGTAGTAGATCAGATCTCTGTAAATATATATAACACGGAGAGACAAATACGGAAACGAGAAATATTGTAAGCTTAGTAATTTTGTGAATTATATTCTCCATAAACATACCTTTCAGAATTTTCTGATATCCTGTTTTTAGAGTCGATCGAATCAAGTGACGACACATTTAAGGGAATAAAATCATTCCAACAAGTGATAAAACATCACGCCCAGTCAGGGACTTGAACCGTGGACCCTCAGATATCAGTGATATGAATCCAAATGCCTCTTAAAAGTCTGATGCTCTACCGACTGAGCTAACCGGGCTCTGAGTGACTATCATTAAATTATCCTTCATGAAAGGGAATGTCATTCCAAAAATGGGGGATCAAATTACAAATGAACGTGAGAGATAGCACCTACCACATTCGTTTCTCCATATACATGTTTCCATAATGTTCACAGTGCTTGCATTCAATTGTGCATTATATGTTTATGAATTTGATTTATATTTACACAAGTGCACATTCTATGGATGTACAGACTCTGCACCTTCACAGAACTGCAGATGATATATGATGCACGTGTAGTGACATCGCGGATACCAGAGTGGTGTGTGTGTAGTGATACCGCCAGATGGCTCCACGACTTGCGTGCAGTGCTGACCCTACAAGACAGGGTGTGTGGGTGCCAACCGTAGGATGAGGTTACTCGAGGCCTTGGCACTCCACTTGACCCGGGTGGACACGTGACCAGTTAAGTCTGCAAAGGGGCCCCAGGAGGGGGCTGGTCACGTGATTTGGACCCAGATCCTTCCTCAGGATTCTGGAAGGTGGGCGTGGCCAAAGGTGGAGCCGGCCACGTCACAGAGAATATAAGCCGGGTCCCGAGAGGGGCCGGGATTGTTGTTCATCCTGGAAGAACCCTTCATCTACGATCTCCGTTCAACGAGTCCTCCAACACGTGAACCCGGGTCGAAGCCGTTGGTCCGGTCCGTAGTGACTAGTGTAGTTAGCCTGGTGGTCACCACCTTTGGTTGTTATTCTGTTAAGGGGAAAGCTACCTCGTGTGTTGGAACTGAATAAATGTGTTTCCTCTACGTCTGCGACTCAGTTGAACCCATTATACTTGTAAACATACATTATATAGATCCTATTTAGTCTGTATTAGATCTCTGTAAATATAATACGTGAAGGGACAAATACGGAAATTAGGAATATTGTAAGTTTAGTAATGTCGTGATTTATATTCTCGAAAAACATGGCTTTCACTATTTTCTCATATCTTGTATTTAGAGTCGATCGAATCAAGTGTCGACACATTTAAGATAATCATATCATTCCAACAAGTGATAAAACATCACGCCCAGTCAGGGACTTGAACCCTGGACCCTCAGATGTCTGTGACATGATTCCAAATCCCTCTTAAAAGTCTGATGCTCTACCGACTGAGCTAACCAGGCTCTGTGTGAGTACCATTCAATTAGTCTTCATGACTATACTGCTCCCAGCACGTGCTTTGAGTGAAACATGTATTCAGCTATAAATCCATTCATATTTGGCGATGCTATCTATTAATGAGTCATATAAATAAAAACTTGTAGACAAGCATAATTTTGTAGACTACAAGTATAACAAAATTGCTAAGGCTACAATATGCCTCATTTTAACATTGGTCCCTCAACTAATTTTTTGACAAAGACCTGATCGTGACTGTAGGATCTTTGACAGCTTCTTTAGGATCTGCACAATTTATGTTTATTGGAATTATACATACTCTGCAGTGGTATGAATGTGTATATCCTATAGTTTGTGCATCTAACGAATCTGCATTCTTTTGAATATATTGCATATATAGTAGCCAGATAAAAATCATGCAGCACTAAATACAAACACAGTGAGAATGAGAATATATTTTGTATTTATGAATTAATGAGCTACTTTACGTCTGCCGGTGAGTGCATGGTCAGTCACAGACAAGACAGAGAGGGCATGTGGTTAAACCAGCTGACAAGCATCCCCGGCAAGGCGTTTCACAGCCTCACTCGGCTCACTTACCTGAGTTTATACGACAACAAGTTGACTTCCCTTCCCGTGGGAGTGTTGAGAAGCTGAAGCGAAACAACAGGAGAGGTGCTGCAGTGGCCGAGCTGTCGAGTGGGCAGGCGGTGCAACTGCACCGAGGCCTATGGGTGTGAGGGACTCAGGAGCTAGGCCATGCCGAGAAGGATTATTATACAAGGGGCGAGAATTTGGTTCCTTGCCTTGTTAGCAACGTTGCACCACAGGAGAGGTGGCTCAGTGAGATGAGTTGAACACCTGGCTGGGGTCCTGCTTTGTGGGTGGTGGGATCTCAGGGGAAGTGCGTCACTCATCTTGGCTCCGCATCTCAGTCACGGTCATTGATGATATCCGTGAAATTGTGCACCTTGCACATCACGTGGTTTGTTTGTATAATCACTGCAACATGGTCATCATGAGCCTCTAAATTGGCGATGCAGCCGCAAGGATGAAACCCAGGATGGCAGCTCATTTCTGATGGCTTTGCCCCACCACAGCCCCCTTGGTGCGCATTGCTGCTCAAACAAGGACTCCCGCACGGGAAGAGACGGCAACTTGTTATTGCTCAGCTCGAGGTAAGTGAGCCGAGTGAGACCATGAAACGCCTTGACGGGGATGCCTGTCAGCTGGTTGTGTCGGGTGGCCACGTGTCTCTGACTTGTTCACCGCTTACCACGGCGCTGGACAGTAGAGACTTAGCAACTGATTATTGATTAATCGATTAATATTGATTATAATGCTCGCAGTACTTTAACTGAGTAGTGTGTGTGTTGTGTATGAATGTGATTCATATATAGATTATACATAGAGCCATGTTCATATTTACGACTAAAATAAAACATCACGCCCAGGCAAGGACTCAGATGTCTCTCGCGTGACCCCGTGACCCCGTGTCCGTTGTAGAAGTCTAATGCTCTACGGACTGAGCTGACCGGGCTCTGGTAGCGCCTCGTTCTGTCACCCTTCAAGACTCTGACTGGACGGGTGGTGATGTGCTCATTGTGCGTTGCTCACAAACGCAATCTTCGTCATGAGCTCGACTCAAAGCGTGGCGAAAGATTCAGTACAAATATCGGGAGAAGTATTAAATGCAGCTTAACATGGTGTTGTCTAAGAATGTTGAAATTGAATTAAAGAACCAAAAACCAACTTCGTGAAATGAAGACGAATAAATAATTTAAATATGAATCAAGATAAACAGGGTATTGGTGGTATATTTGTAACATTGATTAACGTAGTTACAGTTGTATAAATGTGATTACATTTGTATCATTACTCTACCGCATGTTTAAATATCGTCTTGATCACATGACATCTTCCCTTCTCGCACCGTGTCCTGCCTAATCCTACTTTTGTCAACAATGCCTCTAACTTGTCTACATTTCCTCTGCATGTATCCAAGCATGTATCTCTCCATGCTTTTTTTTAAAGAACTTTATAACTTTTGCTCCATTTGCTTTTGTTTACATTAATATATGCGTGGAAAACACAACCGACAACTAGATGCAGCATAGACTTTATTGCTACGAATATATTAGTAATACAAGCAAGAGTGAACACGAATGTGTCAGGCAATTTCTTAAACCCAATTTCGGCACTGGTGGGTGTTGAAGCAGCGGTATTTTTGGCGTGAAGTCAAACATATGGAACCTGAGCCACGTGCCGCACGCCATTTTGGGACAGTCAGATGAATGCAGTGAGACGGGATTGGTTGAGGCTAGGAGGGGAGAGGTCAAGTTTGGCCAATTGTCGGGATTCAGGTTCGTAACTAGATTTATTATCGTCTCGTTCCTATTGTTTTTTTTTCTTTTTCTGTCTTGTTTGTAAAGTATTGTCTTTCAATCTCCTACATTTTACTTTACCATTGCTTATAACATAAATAATGAATTCTTACACACACGATTTGATGTGTATCGAAAGCGCGACTTGATTTTAATTTATTACATGCCTAATCATCACCCTCACACAAAACTTTCCAGTGACAAAGGCCGGTTTATAAATGGTGATGTACCAAGCGTTGCCAAACAGGATGGTTTACCTCATAATTCAGGATAAAATTTAGTGGCGAACTCAGTTTTACAGAATTTTAAAAAATGCAGTTATAAGGTTTAACACAAAAAATGTAAAAATAATGGCTCTCTGTTGATAGGCCATTTATTACTCGTTGGTTCTTTTGGTAAAGTCACGTAGGTATAAAATCAAATAAATTAAATCACGACGTTTCGGGCGCAACACAAGCGTCCGTCATCAGGTGGGACAACCACAGCAAGAAACAATTCCTGAAGTGGGCTGTGGCTGTCCCACCTGATGATGATTGCTTGTGGTTGCGCCCGAAACGTCGTGATTTAATTTATTTAATTTTATACCTACGTGACTTTACCGAAAGAATCAAAGAGTCTGGATCCGTGCAGTCACGAAAACTTAAAATCTAGATTGAGGCCATTTATTACTTTAATGCATTGATAGAAGACCACAATATTTAAACATGTAGGGTTCATTTCACATTCTATTAAACATACAATTTCACTTCATTTTTGATTAAAAAAAAGTTTCTGATGCTTCCACAACCATACCATGATGGTGTTTTGGACATTTTATTTGAAGCCTCCATAATTTAATGTTGTTTTTCATCTAGATATATGATCACAAATGTAAGTTTTCTTACACACATGTAGAGGTTTTATTTCATAAATATCTGGTAGCAACACTGGGCTGAATTTGTATACGAAGGTGGTCACTATTCTGATCTAACACTGAGCTGACCCTGAGCTATTATTCAGGCAAACTAAGGATAAAGGACGGATATCTCAGTGACAATGCGATGTGACAGTACAATGATTCGTTATCACTAGTGATTTCCCCTTTTATAAATTATAAAATATTAAAACTTATCAGTATCACAAAAAAGTATAAAACACGTTATTCATATTATTGCATTCACTCGTAAAAACAAAACAAAATTGACATTAATCAAACACTCAAACAAAAATCTAGGGTGTGTCCAATGGGCAGAGCGCTGCAGAGCGATTTTACATTTAGACAACCCGTTAAGGTCAGAGCACATTGTAATAACAACACAAGAGGATTTCTCCACAACTCTGGTTGTCCGCCTGATGATGCTATTTGTAATTACTGGTGAAACGTCATACTCGAATTGTAACTGTTGTGGGTTTACTCTCCAAAATACCGGTTAGTGCTGAACTCGTGACTAATTGCTGTTTTGTTTACGTGACAAACCTGACTGGCTGTCGGGTTTAACGAAACATTTAAATATTTACGTGATCTAACCCAAAACACCTCTATTATGGATATTGGTCGCGAAAGCCTACGTGTTAAACATAGCTATTCGTGACAAATATTATTCATAATAAAGGTTTTTGGGTTAGATCGCATAAGTACAAACGTGTCGTAACCCTCCACCACCTGACATAGCCAACCCATAAGGTTTGTCACATAAACAGAACATGCCAATTCGTTTAGTACAGCACACCGGGTCTGCTGGAGAGCGAATTCACAACATTTACAATCTGAGTACGACGTGTCGCCAGTAATTATGAGCATCTTCAGGCGGATAATGGTCGCGAAAGCCTACATGTTAGACTGAACAACAACAGTCTGGCGATGATCTGCCTGGCTAAGTGTTCGGTGGGCGCACAAAGACAGCCAATCAGAGGCGCCGTCCCTTTCTGTCAGCTCTTGGTTCGCACGTGCAACGGGCGCGCTCATTGGCTGAGCGGGCGCATGACGTCACAAGCCGTCGCGAGGCTCGAGGCGTCCTCAGGCACCGTCCAATAGGAGTTCACGACCGCCTCCCACGCAGTAGCGCCATTGAACTCACCCCAGATGGATGTTTTTTTTTCTTGAAAATGTGCAAAAACAGCACATCCAGATAATACCATTTCGTTAATTTTGATAAACTTGTTAATTCGTAGTTAGGACCTTGATTCAGGGTTTGAGTTGGTGTTAGATGTGTTTTGTTAGTATTATGGGTAAGTGTGAAGCCAAATACATACAGGGCCATTTTCCTGCAAGACAATTTCCAGCAACATTGTGGAAATGAAGTTGGACGGAGTCTGCAACATTGACATCATCACTTTTGTCGTGCACTCGCTGCAATTGGCTGGATTGGCTCACATAATCGTCATGGAAACTTCCACCAACGTTGGTGCCTTAAATAAAAAAACTCAAGAAACATCAATAACACTGTGGCCTTAAAATACAATATTTAGACGTTTTGGGAAATGACCCTTCTTCATAGCACTTATATAGAGGCCTGGGAGACAAAGTGGAGTCTGCACTTTACACCGTGGGGCTTGATAAGGACTATATATTTTAAAATGTTTCCAGATGAACAGTTTTTCATTGGGATAGGTGACTACTAGTAGCTGTTGAGTATCAGCCCCACCCTTCAATAATCAAAACTTATAACGAAATAAACAAATCTATATTCAAGTAAAATTATAAGATGTTACTGGCACATTGCATGATGGGAAGGATTTTTCTGTAATTGCCTTTTTTCCATGTTGGCTAGGAGGTATTGAAATGCAGATTGACAAGTTAATCTTTGTTTATCAAGGCCAATTACCAACTCCCACGAGTGATTTAGTTAATATCTTCTTATATTTGTATTAGTGTTATAGATTAAAGTCAGAATTACACATCATCATTAATAATAGTGTGCGAGGTTGGGATTAGCATTCACATGTTAACCAGTGGCGTAACGATGCATCAACACATCAGTTAGTAATACATTCTAAATCTTACGACGATACATGCATTGAATCACATGTGTAGTGTAATAGCGCCGGCTGGTGGACAGCAGCGGCAACTGTGGTGGACAAACAGCGCATACGCCGGTGAGGGTGTGCACGGTGTGTGGGCAGAGGGTTGGAACTAGGGAAAGGGTCACAGAGGACCCCATCTGGAGGCCCCTGGAACCTGCTAGCGGGTTCGAGAAAGGAGGTGCGGTCAGGGCGGAGCCAGGCTGCGCTGGGAGCATAAAAGGAGCCGAGAGCGGGAGCTTGAGGCTGCCGGTTCTGGGAATGGGCTCTCGTCTAGTCGTTGCTGTCGTCTCGTCGACGTCGTTGCTAAACGCCTCCGCTAGATATTATGCTACGAAGGATAGTAGTTGGCTAGCTCTGTCAGCGCCGTCAGTGTTAGACGGTTAGTGTAATGTACAGGCTAGGCTGAGCTACTGTGGAGAGAGTGCGGACGAGACCGTGGAAGTTGTTAATAAAGTGCCTCCTACAAACTCTGTCTCTGAATCATTGACACTACACATGTATAAAAAGCAATGTTATTCTATTCGTATGTGGTGTATGTGATCGGTTTACGTGACCCTTTCCGGCCACCAGAGAGCGCTATGTTCACCACAGTGTAAAAATAAAGCATCGATTCTTGAATTGCATGCGTGGCCCTGCATGGCAGCAATGCAATGAACCGTAGAAAGTTTCTGACATTGCGAGTGGCAATATCGTCATCTCCCAACGTCCACGTTCGCGTTAGGCAATTGGTTTCACGTCTTGATTATTGTTTTACTTGTTATAACAATGCTTTAATGCACTGCTGGATGAAGACCTACGCACACCATGCCGGTCATGGTGGTTGTTCGACCACTGACTTTACCACGCTGGTCATTGAGGGTTGATTTCTCGAAACTCATCTTAGCCAGCAGTGTTTTATGGGCTATACATTCCAAGTATTACAGGAATGCAAAAGTTACAACTTGTGAGGGATGGTTACATCATCCTTAACGGTTAGTTATGATTTGAGTTTATGGTTAGTGTTAGTTTAGTGGTCAGCATTGTTTAGTGCGGAGTGCTTGCGTTAGCAGCTCAAACTGGCCGTGCTTAGCGAGCCCATCCCTGCGGTAGTGCCTATAGATTGGTAATGGGCGTTTCTTCCGGTAGTGTTAGGGATATCTAAAGTGTCAAGGTTTGTATCAGTGTTAGTGTCAGGGTTGGGCTTAGGGGTTAGGGCCTTTCCTTAGTGGAGGTGTAACGGAGGCATCCAGCCATCGATTCAGATCCATCGAATCGCGCTCGTAAACTTTGTTGTTTTTTTTCGGTCCAAATAATGTAATGGGATTAACGTGATCCTGGCAGCCACTAGGGGCCGCTAAATTCACCACTACAAAAATAAAAATGGACAATTTAATATAACATTTGAGCTTTTGCTGATACTAAGATTCACAATATAATTTTGGGTCAGATCGCGTGAGTGAAACGCGCGTTGTAAACCCACGTACCCACGTGATGAACGTGTGTGTATTACTCTCCAGCAGCAGCAGGGGCACACCGTTCTGCAGGAATACGGTGCTCGCGTGGTAGCAACCACAGCCACATCCACAGCTGTAATGGATGTGGTGTGCCAGGGTGCAGAATTAATTTCCGGATACACCTCGGCTAAGTAATCATCAATTGGCACGTCTGTTTATCACGTCACAACTCTATGAATTGTCTGTGTCGGGTGGAGGAAGGTGTAACAACACACATTTTGCTAATTTTATCTGACCAAATCTAATCAAATATGAATAATTAATTATTGAATTGAATCATGACCTTGAATCGCGACTCGTTGCACCTCCATGTTTAAGGGCTGCGCAGTGGCATCAGGGTTAGGGGAACAATTTCACATTTAAAATAAACACCGTTACAATCACAGTAAAGTGCCCTAGCTAGCTTACACTCATCCAAACGCCCCCGTGTGGCACACTGCGTCCCGTGTCCACATGCAATCTAACGTACACCCAGTGTGCAATGCAAGATGTACTTCAGAGCAAAGCAAATGCAGGCGGGACTTGCATTTCAACACAAGCTGTGACAATAACAACAAATCCATTCTGAGCCCAAGCGAAGAGTGCGGCTGGAGAGCACTTGCTCTACGAGCCGATCGCTCTATTCCACTGCACATTTAAGCCGTGCCGAGCCAGAGCGGTGTGGGAGCTCGGGAGAAGCCGAGCGGTGCCACTGACGTCACGTGCGGAGAGTCGAGGCGCTCCTAGGTGACGTGGTGATGCCGCTTCCTCATGGAGTACTCGCCCACGTCACGCAAAACGAATGCAACGTCAGCATCACCCCTGGGCGCTGCTTGGCCTTGAGCCAGTTCAGACGTCTTCTTGCGAGGACAGCAAGTGCAGCACGGTTTGGTTCTGGCCTGGCATGGCCAATAGCCCCAGTGGAAAAACCACCGGTACCCCGCGCTGGTTTGGCTCAGATGTACCAGCAGAACAAGGCCACGAGTTGCAACGATGGTAAATGACAGCAGCACGAGGAAAGCCAATTGTTTAACAAACCCCAACAGAATGTACAACCGCTATCGTGCAGCGACACACTGAGTGGCTGTCCCACGTCGGTTTGAAGCTTCGCTTTTGAGATAAATGTGCTGTCGAGTGACTACCAAGGCCTACGGTGATGTCACCGTGGTGCCACTCTCGTACTTGTTTCATACTACGCAGCAGCAGATGGAAAACTATAGCACAGGAGAAAGTCAATTTGAAATATTTAATCCAATTAACGAAGCTTCTACCTGGTGTCGGATCGTCTAGGCCACAGGGACTAGGTGGGCAGCCAACCAGCAGATTGAGGGAGGTGTTGTGGGTTGTATCTGCTGTGACATGGCCAAGGTTCATGGCTTGAACCCAGCGGTCACCCTGGTTAACACTGCGGGCTCATTAACCAAAAGGACTGCGGTGCCATTGGCTTCACAGTCGATGTTCAAGGTTCCCGCAATAATTCTTCGAAAATGAGAAGGCCATGTGTGGGCTGTCGTCAGTCAGAATTTGGAGTGTTAAAATAAAATAAAAAAATCACCAGCAAATTACTTCATTGGGAAAAGCAACATGGTACCACTGCCCTCTAAGTGGCAGACCCCATCAACGTCGAGGGCCTCGAGGGCAGGGATGGCCGACACTGAGATGTTATGTAAGGCGCTTTGAGATGTTAAGGCATTGAAGCAAGTGCCCTATGCATGCAAATCCCTCATCCTCATTGCACATCTGGGCTCCGCAAATGATTGCTCTGCTTTGCGAGGTCGCATTGGGGGCACACACATGGGGTGCATCTCGCAAGAGATGAGAGAAATACTGGAGATTGGTCGGAGAGCGATTTACAGCCCGTAGTCAATCCACTGCTGGATGAAGGCCTCTCCACGCCCGTGTCTGTCGTGGGAGTTATTTTGAGCGTGCTCCGTCAAGCTGCTCCGTAGGGAGTTATTCCAAACAGAAATTATTTTGGGGAAAGATGCGGACGTACATCTCAACACGCAATGCATGTGACAAAGCCGCCCAGAACGCGCCAGATCGTGTCGGCGCTTGGATGGGCGATCGCCATGCAGCAACAACGGCCGATATCGCCTGCGGGGCCACGCACTTGGGCAGCAGAAGGGAGTGCAGGGAAAATAATAATTGTTGTGCTGTACTTCTATCCTTCCGTGTCTATGCTCCCCAAACTCATCAACCCGACCTGACCAGCGTGGTGAGGTTGTGGTCACATATCCCCCATGATTCGCACGGTGTGGGCCTGCCCTCATCCAGCAGTGGATTGACAGTTCGGTCCGTACCTACTGCAAAATACCGTAGACGATGCTTAAAGCCAGTCCATCATTAGACTTAGTTTCCGCTTACAAGATAAATTATCCCGACGAAGGTCGCAGAGCGTGTGCATTAGATGTGCGTGTTAGGGAGGTGTCTGGGAGAGTCGGTGGGGGGGGGGGTCTCAATGGCTCCGTCAAAACATGGAGACATCGATCTCACCGCTGGGAACCTGGGTTCGATCTCGGGTTTAAGCGGCCAACGATTAAAGCGTCACATCAAGCGCCAGCGCGTTGGTGGTCTTGGCCTGGTCACCAATGACTGCACGCAAAAAAATCCGAAACTTGACAATTGGTTTGTCACTTAATTTGGATATCCTTTACAGGTCATGTCATGAGGTGTAGTAACTCGAACGGAGGGCGATATAAAAGGAGCATGACGACTCGATGATTAATACCGATCCTCAAATTGACGATGGATGCGTCTATCCACGTAAGAATCAAGGCGTTTTGATCCCTGCACGTGGCACGTGATGGTTTCCACATGAACCCTCCAAGGGCAACGACCAATGGCAATGCTGAGAGAGGGCTCTTGCCTATAAAGATTTGATAATTCACCAGCGTTGATCTCAGAGCAAGCCTGACTGCTGATTCCAGACATTAACTGTTGAACTCAGAGTTTGCTTGCATGAAAGCAATGCTGGTGAAAAATATTAGTTCCAGAATGCTGTGTGCCTGTTGGGGGATATATATATTTATGTAGAGGGACAGATATTAGAGGCTTAATTCTTCTGAATAGTGGGAACTCATCAACTCACTATACCCTGCGGGTGAGTCTTTACATCCGTAGAGTGCAACTACACCTCATGTCAAAGAATGGCCACAGAAGATGATGTCAAAGAACTACTTCTGAGCCGACTGCAGTATCCTCTTATCGACAATAGAGCCACATGTCTTACAACCTATGCAAAAAAGCATTTGTTGCATCTTACTAAAACCACGGTTTGTGATTCTCAGAGCTAGAGTAAGCCACATTACATGACAAACAAAATGTAATGTTATAGGTTTTTGTGCTATAATTGGGGATTGGACCTAGACCATATCCTCACGCCACTTCAGATTCCATGTATCTGGCTCAGAGGTCAGAGAGCTGAGTTGGCACCACTGAGAATCTTGGATTCGAATCCAGGCTTCATGACACTGGGTTCTCAAGGGGAGTGAGCTGATGGTCACAAGTTACAGCAGAAAACAAAAACCCCATCACATTAAATTCAGCCGTGCACTCAATTTGACTAAAGTCCAACTCGGAGAATGGAAAATGTCGGTTTGTGACACTACAAAAATTGCTTTGTGTGGCAGGGGCGGCTGGGAAAGCGATGCCCTTTACTGTGGGGATCAGAGGTCACTTGAAGCAGGGACCTGAGGTAGCTGCACTTCTGCGGGCTGTTCTCTAACACAAAGGGCCGCCGTGCGCTGCGAGCGATGCCAAATGGATTATTTGTCTCATGACATGACACTGCCAGGGAATACGTTTGGGAATTAAAAAAATATATTTTTTGTTTAGTTTTTGTTTTAAAGAACCCAGATTAAATCGCGGGTGGCTGAAACCCAGACTCCAAATCCAGGATGTTGGCGGTGCGGACGCGACGTGTCTCCGAGCCGGTACCAGCTGCCCCACCCGGCCGGGCTGCCTGCATCTCTCGCGTGGGGTCAGTACCACGGCTCGAGGCCGCACAGAGCGGAGGCGGCGGGCTGGGTCCCCCTGCCTCCGCCCTCCCCACCCCCGATCCCCCCGCCGGCACTCACTGCAGGCCGGCCAGATGGGTGACGGGCGGCAGGTGAACCAGGAACTCGTCGTACTTCTCCACAAAGAGGCGCAGGCGGTTGGAGTAGGAGGCCTCCTGGTAAGGCTGCCCACAGCTCTTGAGGTACGAGGACACGAGCGGTTTAATCTGCATGCACGGAACCAAGGCAGAGACACCCCCCCGCCCACCACCCGTGTTGTAAGCCGCACAAGCGCTGTTAGCGAGTGCCTATTAGTCGGAAAGACACCACCACGGGTTACGTATTATGCAATACAATACACAACTCAAAATAACCAATAATCATTAGCGTCTTTGTGGGACCCACATTTGCGTCCTTGCTGATAACATCTGGCAGTTCACCACTATTGATTCAAGCAAGTCTGAAGTGCGTCGAAACTGGTTTCGAGTTTGCTGAGAATGAATGAACGCTGCTGAAATTATACACTTCCAGAAGTCTGCGGGGTTAACGATGGGTTATGTAAAATATACTTTTTTATATGGAGACACAGATACGTGAAGGAGACACGAACACTATTTTCTTTGGGGCACATTGCTACGTTACAGTTCATTGTTAGGTTCAGGTATCCAAAGGCACCCCCGGCCAGCCCTCGTCAGTGCGACCAGGGCTCAATGAGGACTGCCGAGGGCTCGCGGCCTTCATGGGCGGCACCTGTAGGCACATGTGGTCGGAGAGCGCGGGGAAGAGGTGATGCTCCACGTGGCAGCTGATGAGCGAGTGCCCGAAGCACACGTCCAGCACGGGCACACGGTGCAGGTTCAGAACGCCGTGCGCCATCTGCACCAGCCGGCGCGGGCAGCTGTCGCGAGCGAACATCGCCAGCCCCAGGTGCTGCGTGACGGCACGCAGGGGGGACGTCACGGGGACGTCACGGGGACGTCACGGGGACGTCACGGGGACAGAAATGACAGTTATGGGGAAAATACGGGGAGTTGCAGGGAATTACAGGGACATCACGGAGAGTTACGGGAAGGTCACGGGGAGTTACGGGAAGATCACGATGATTTATGGACATTACGCAGAGCGGGAGGAGCAGGAGGTGGCCGCGTGAGTCTCACCTGGAAGACGTTGACGTGGATGTAGGGGATGGCGAAGGCCGCCCGGCTCGTGTACATGCACGCTGCCGCCGTGGCCGCCGAGCTGAAGCCGCACGCAAAGCGCAGCCAGCAGAAGTGAGCGCCCAGCCCCAGCGCGCACAGCGCCAGCGTTCGCACCGACGAGCACCACGACGACGCCGGCCGCTTCAGCAGCAGCCCTGGGGGGGGGGGGGGGAGCCAGAGGGAGACGGAGTGGGGGGAGACGGAGTAGGGGGGGGTAGACGGAGGTGGGGGGGGAGGGGGACAGAAGGAGGGGTGACAGGGATGGAGGGGGAGACGCGGTGGCGTGGCCCAGCTGCAAGTCGTTTGCCACTCGTTGCAGAAGTTCACGACGGTCGGCATCCGTAAGGAGGCCCCGGTTATTACTGCCGGTGCATCAACACCATCACCAGTGGAACTGTGCTTCACAGCGGACGTGAAGATCTAGGGATGTCATTTGGAACGAGTGGTAGGCCACTGCGTGCTGGTGAAAAATTCTACAATGTACACCGCAAAAAACTCACTTGTGATTATGCGCGGCAGCGATCATCGCCCCCTCCTGGCAGGCTAAAGCCAACTACTAGTCGGCCGAGTAAAATTGTATTTTCTATTCTTTTTAAAACATGTACATATTTATTAAAAAATTAAAGTTGTGCATTCTGAAATATATATAAAACTGTTTGTTGTTAAGAGTGACGAGTCAAGACGTGTATAAAAATGCGTGCTCTCCTGTTTCCTGGGTGAGAAGTAGTGGAGTTTTGTCCTTGCCAAATCCTTGCCAGGCCCGACTCAAAAACTCGCGAAACATTTCCAACAATTTGTGTTTCAGGGTTTTTAAAATGTGGTAAATCATCAGCAAATCTGAGGTGGTTAACAACTTCTCCATGAATTCAAATATTTTTCAAATGGGACACAAACACCGATGCGATAAAACGTGCCTAGAATTTACTCCGTCAAATTATTTGAGATAACATTTTTATACTGAATACGAGATATACGTGTGTGGTTGGGCAGGACTTTGTTTAAATTTACGACTTGTTGTTGAAATAACTGAAGTGTACATAACCCCAAAGGCAAATGCACGGCAGGTGCAAAGAACGCTTACCCGAAACATCTGAAAGGTTTATTGGGGCCTCTGACAACAAGGGGAAAACCCAGCCAAGATAAAGCCTTTGTGAAACCAGGACTATCCCAGCCACACCAGGACTGGCCCAGCCAAATCAGGCCAACGGTAATAACGATAACAGTTCACGCCCCCCCTCCAGCGTGCCGTGCCGTACCCAGCGTCACGGCCGGGGTGATGAAAGGCAGGGCGAGCGGCGCGAGGAACAGGTAGACAAAGCGCGGCAGGAAGGGGGCACGCCACGTGGAGGAGTCGCCCAGGCCCAGCACGTTGGTGTAGGCATGGTGCACCTTCACGTGCTCCTCCACCGCCACGTCCGCCGGGAAGCAGCCGCACACCTCGCACGCACGCACACACGCACGCACACCACAAGGTACTCACTCACATCTGTAAGTGACCTGGTTGGAGACCACGGGACTTCTGTGTCATTGTGGCATTGTGACGGGTGTGTGTGTGTGTGTATATAAGGGGAGTGGTGGCGCAGTGGGTAGCCGCATTGCGCTACTAATGCGGCGACCCCAGTTCGATTCCTGCTCAAGGCCAACACCAGCGGCGATAATCTGAACCGGTCCTGAGGCTCCCCTATGTCGACTCAGCCCTAAATGTACCTGGTGCAGTGTGTAAATATTCCCACTAGGGAGACTAAGACAGCCGGGTGTGGTGCTGGCCATACAACCCCACGTGTTGTGTTCGCTAACAGCACTTGCCCCAATAAAGTCCATTAAGGCTATAAGGGGGATCTTTGTCTCTGCCGTATGTATTGGTATTACATTGCATGTGCGTCAACAAGTATATTCCTGGTTGTCCTTATGTCTATTTGTTCTCTTATTTGATTGTCCATCTATCTATCTGGGTATCTATCTGGCTGTCCATCTGTCTATCTGATGAATGTGTCTGCCATTCATCTATCTGCGTGTCTAGTTGTCTTTTAATCTGTACGTCTCTGTGCCACCATCTGTCCATCTGTTTGTCAGTGTGCCTGTCTGTCCATATATATATGTGTGTGTATGTGCCTGACTGGCCACCTGTCGATCCATCTGTCTGTGTGCTCGAAAGTCTACCGGTCACTCAATCTCATCAGTCTTCCTTTCCGCCTGGGTTTCTCCAAGTGTACGCTAACAATCCTAAATATATCCCAGAACAGCCGAGGCAGCTGGTGGCATTCCATGACTTCCAAAAATAATACCATTCACATCGTTCATTCACCCGGCCTCAAGACTGTCTCAGGAGGGAGCTGCATTGGGATGGTTGGCGAACCGTGGTGGCCAAGGTAACACGGTGCTTGGTGGATCACAAAGAACTTCTAGGAAACTCACAATCCCACTGGGGCTGTGAGATGGCCAAGGCATGGCGGTACAGCAAGTGGGTTAGTGAACCTGTCGGGACATATTTTGATTGCCGTCTCCTCTGGTGCATGGCGGAGTTTCTTCAGGTGCTCTGTCTTACCACCTATCCCACCTTCAAAAAAATAATTGGCCACACATGGCGATGTAGGACACTCCTGCAAATAGTTTTGAGAATCTATAAAATATATGAGTGTTATTGGTAAAAAAATAAATCTGAGGTATCACACTCCAGACCAAGTCACGCGGAATGTGCCCAATCGTAGCAGGTCTTTAAGCTAAGTGAAGTTGAGCCTGGACAGCGCTGCACCGCGTACAAGAAGCGGTGCCAGCCGCCACGTGGGTGTAATTTGCAAACAACACGGGGCCTCAGTTAGCCACATCGGTACACCCACGCACGGCCACAAAGTGATAGCGCTCGGACTCCTGCCAAAGCCATAAAGGAGCGGTGTTCATTCACGATGACGCTGCAGAGCGCCTGCGCGCAAGCGGACTCGCTGCCAGATTCCCGTGTGCCGGTGGGGCGGTGCCACGCGCCACCCTTGCCACACCTCCACCAGATTGTGGGGCTCCGATCCCGATGGTTTGCGTAAGAGGTCGGGTAACAGCCCGTTGGACGGAAATGTGCGTGCGGGCCAGAAATTACAGTCTGTTCTGCTATAATGCGGTAGTTGCGTTCCTGAAGAACACCGCATTGCGGAAAAATCGCGTTATAATAATTATAGGGGGTAAAGCACAGTCCGTGATAACACGTGAGATGCGTACGCAGGCTGAACAAGGACTAAGGCGTGTGCATGAGGCTGATTGTGCGGTTGAGTCCGAGTGCGTGGTTGATCGTATGCAGTCGAGTTCACCGGGTTTGGCTGAATCGTTTCGGCCACTCAATCGTGTTATCTCCAATTGGTATCCGCGTTATGTAAAAAATTTATTCCCTCATACATTTATCGCGTTATATACAATTCGCGTTATGAAAACACCGAGCAGCGTTATCGGGGAACGGACTGTACGCGGATATAGTTTTGACCAGGGAGAGACCGGGGTGAGTGGCGTTCGCACGAATTGAGTGTCGTAAGGACGACAGCAACAACGTAAAACAACTCACAGAGCCCTTGAGGTGCAAGGCAGCAGCAGGAGGCAGCGATGCCTATACTGTACTGATGATTTCTAACACTGGCGAAACTGGTATTATACAGCTGTCTTGGTTATCCTGCTACCGCTGCTGTCGTCTAAAATAATTATGGCCAAAGTGTGAATTCTTTGAGTGGGTGTCCTGAAGCAAGGCTGTGTGCAACGTGCGCACGGTGTGGTGATGTCACGCGACATGCAAGGCATTATGGGCGCACTGATCTTTTGATCACAGACAAACCTTTTGCCGTCCATAAATCACCTTGGCGTGTTAGTATTTGCATCTCATAATAATAACAACACATTTACATTGAGAAGCACATTTAAACGTGCCGTGCATCACGTAAATAGCTAAATGGTTGGCCAAGGGGAGGATTCACGATCAAGCATCGGAGCTAATTGTTAAAACCGAAAACGAGAGAAACGCGTGTTGAGCTGGAGTTTAACCCACTCTGCTGCTGCTGCCACGTGGCCAATCGTTGTGTGGTTGATTGTGCGTGCGGTAGATCGTGTATGCGATGATTGTGTATGCGGTAGATGACGTGTGCGATTGCGTGTGCGAATTAATTGATTGTGTGTGTGCGGTTGACCGCGTGTGTGATTGCAGTTGATAACATGAGCAGTTGAGGTTTGAGTTGGTGACACGCCTGACAGACCGTGTGTGAGGATAATAGTGTGGTCGAGTGCATGGTTGATAGTGTCCAGTTGATTTACCGGGTGTGTGGCTGAATTGATTGCATGTGCGGGGAGTTGTGTGCAAAGTTAAGTTCGTCACATGTGGGTGATTGTGTGTGGTCGATTGCAAGGCAGAGTCTGTGGTTGATCGTCCATGTGGTTGTCTATGTGCTTGTCCCTGTGTGTGGTTGATCGTCATCTGTAGTCAATCATACAAACGATCGACTGAAGCGCAATCAGCTACCACATCAGCAGTGAACAGCTCCTGCTGCTGCAAGGTAAATATCGATTGCTCATCTGGACCACATGACACACCTGCCAACTTCCAACAACAACAGCCCCCGCCATTCACCACTTAGTGGCAGTCACCTCACCACAGCACCTGTGCCAGGCCAGATTCACTTTGAGGCTGTCACGTCAAGTGTGGAAGGCTCGCTGGAAAGAGGTCACGGGGACCGGCTAGGGTCTTATGGATTTACTGACCGAGATGACTGTCCGATGCAGCACCTGTGCAGCCTACTGTGCCAACTCGCTACATTTTAACAGCCCGGCGCTCCGATCGTTGTTGTGAGTGTCGCTACTCCACCCTCCGTTGTTGCTGGAGGGCCGCTGCCTCCAACTGCCCAGTAGCGTCCTTCACGAGCTTCCTCCACAGAGGCCGAGTTTTACACTACTGGTACCAGTCATCGGCAAGTCCACTTCGCTCCACATCCTCCTGTACCGCATCAAAATCGTCTCTTTTTCAGCCTGTGCCACGTCCGTTTAGCCCCCTCTATGCAGCCAAACAGAAGCTGCTCGGCTGCTGCCACCACACACACACGTTGCGTGCGCTCACCTCGATGAAGAAGAGGCACCACACTCGGCTCCAGAGGCGCGAGTCGGCGAGGGAGTTGTGGCTGGCGAGGTGCGTGGCCTTCACCGTGAAGAGCGCGTGCGTCACCGCCAGGCACCCGCAGCCCAGCAGCAGCGCCGCCGAGCTGTCCAGCGACACCAGCACGAGGCCTGCGGGAGAGGCCGCCCCGTCACTCGCACACAGCACTCTCTCGCTGTGGTCATGAGTATATGTGTCTCACTGCTCCTATCGGTATCCCTCTCTCACTATAACTGTGGCTACTAGGCATGTGATATCTACTCCGGTCAAGCAGCGACACAAACAATATTCAGTAAGAAAATGAACACAGGTATTGCCCTTATGTATGGCTCGATGAATAGCAACTTATATGTCCGTGTCCAGGTGAGTTAGCCAATTAATGTCTACAGTTAATTGTGCGGTGGATTACTTCAATACATCTGTTGAAATTTGAAGAATTCACAATGGTTCACTGCTGTGTAGTCTCAAATAGAGGCACGTAGACTCGCAGGGAGATTCAAAAACTTAGAGAAAGCGTTGACTCACAGAGAGCTGGACAGTGGTTCACTACTGTGTGGTCGATGGTCTAGTTGGCATTTCTGCATCGCACAAACAGATGCCTTACAAACACAAAGCGTATGAATACCCAACGTGTTGTGACAACTTTGTTGTTGTATGTGCTTTTTGCTTTGGTGACATTTCTTAATTTGTTTATTCGTTTTTTATTTTGCTTGGCAGTAGTAGTAGGGTTTGCATTTGCTTGGTAGTAGTGGCTCTATATGCGATTTGGCCCTGACATATATAATTCATGAACAGCATTGTGGGATGCTATTGGCATGAATGACGCTATATAAAAAGTATTATTATCACCATGTAACAGATGCCTCACTAATACAAAACACATTGGCACACAACGTTTGACAGATGCCTGACTACCGCGTGGACATGTGATCTCTCTCCCTCTGTGCACTGTGGCTTTAGTAACCGAGTGGGGAGGTAGTCTTGAATGGCGAGCGCCCATATACCAGCCAGTGGGCGTCACGGTGGCGAAACGTTAACTACCTCGCCTGGTATGCAGGAGGTCGTGGGTTCGATGCCGACCCTGACGCCTGCTGCTGTATAAAATAACTTGAGAACATGGCTGGCGTAGAGGAGGGGAACGAGGTTAGGCAGAGCCTTGGGGGTCACATCACTGGGAGATTCATCACGAACTGAGCTCTGAATCATCATCTTGATTTGTACTGGAAGAGTCCAATGAGCCATAAAGCTCCTTTTCACAGATGTCCAGTTGGAAGTAAGGGTCAGCAAGTTACAAACAATACAAAACACACGACAGGAGTGCAAAATAGAGAAAGAGCTAAGCAAGTCACAAAAAATATAAACAAAATAAACAAGTATTTAAGTCTGAGTTCCCGGGGAATCTCCCAGAATGTGAGGCGAAATGTCGGATATGGTGACAAATGGGCGAGCCGGTATAAAAGCCATGTGCCGATACTGGGGCTGTGCGTGTAACGAGTGGACGATGAAGAACACTCAAAATGTAGAGAACATGTTCCATGAATCTAAATGAATTGGGACCACACCTGCAAATCGTGCGGAGTAAATGAATTATCCATCTGAATAAAGAAAATAATTGGACCAGGTGGTTTGGGCTGATGCCAGGTGCAGACCGCTGAAACTAAACTATAAACTTTTTATTTGACCAGGTAAGGCTCACTGAGCAATGTAGCTATTTATTCATAAGTGACCTGGCTATCACAAATGATAGCTCCAAAAAGTGGCTTATCTTGGGTAAATTTATAGCAGCCAAATACTCTAAACGCATGACGTTGATTCTAAATGTGGAGGTAAAAACCGAAGGGTCTGGAGAAAAATCCACGCGACCAAGGAGAGACACCATAGACTCCGAATATAGAGCACGCGTCAGGGTCGGGATCGGGATCGAACTCACGACCTCCTGTATACGAGGCGAGGTAGTTAACATCTCGCCACCATGGTGAGATGATAGCCACAGCCAGGACCCTGACAATTCGCTGTGGCATCGCTGAAATCGCCGAGGCAGTTCTCAATCGTTGACGGTGTCGCTGGCTATGCGAGGACTTTAACTGTGGCTCTGACGTGGCGGAAGAAGAAGAGGGAGACGATGCTGACGAGCCAAGCCAGCGAGGACAAAGTGGTGCCACTCTCGCATCCGTTACGAAATACGAACGGCTCGGATGAAAGGTGACTCATGCAGTGGGTAATCTGACACGAGACACAATTACCCCCAATAATAAAGTCATGAATGTCCGGACAGGTGCTGTATATACGTACATACAAACACAAAGACCCCCGTAAAGCCTAAACAGATTGTAAGGAGCAAGTGTTGTTAGCGAGTAGCACCTATGAAGGACGGAACGACACACATGGGGGTAGTTGGCTGGCATCAGGCATAGGCCGCCTATGTCACCCCAGTGGCGATGTTCACACACTGTACCAGGTACTCATTTGAGGCTGAATCGACCTCGGGGATGTTTGTCGCCGGGTTCGTAGTGTAGCGCGCTAACCATTACACTACCGCTCCCAGATATGTAAACCGACACTAAGACACAGACCGATGCAGCAATAAGGTCAGGTGTTGAGAGCAACAGGTTTAACCAACCACATTGCATGGTCAACCTTCGACTTTCAAGAAATTAAAATACGTGAAGATGCATGGGATTAGCCAACGGCAGATTACACAGCAAAGCTCACCGTAACGCCTGCAAGCATCACCATTCTGACTCTTTTCTATTTCCTGCATTCTGCGGATAAGAGACACATATATATCCACTCCATATATATGTCCCTGCAAGAAGACGCAGGCGAGCTAAGTCTCGTAAGGGCTGTTTTATTTGCCGTAAACTCGCGCAGTGAGGAGCACACGCAGTGTTCAGGGAGCTACTCCAACCAAGGGCTCCGAGCTCTCCTCGCGAGCCCTTCCTATCCTCTTCCTGGGCCTTCTCTCTCAACCCTTCTCCTCTCCTACACCAATTGCTTTAATTTCCCATAAAGGCTCTCCCCCATCAGATCCTCTCAATTACGTCTCACTTTTTCGAGGGCTTTTCTAAATAAATATTTGCACCAATACAATTCGAGTGTTTCACAACCCCCCCCCCCCAATCATATTGCGTGCTAGACACGTCCACCGCTCCATGTGACAGCTTGACAATGGGAAGTCAGCGCCTTACCTTAACCCGACTAGGACATGAGGCTCGGGGGGTGTTGTTTATTATTTTATTCATAGGGTTCACCGTACGTGTGTAATGACAGGGTGACACCTGTCTGCCTGGAGAGGTAATTGCGGTTATGGGTGCACTACGTAACGCCTTATTATAAGGGGGGCGTATCTGGGGTAAAGGTGAAAGGCGGAGTCAGTCGAGAAGCTCCAGGAACCGGCTCGAGGGTTCTGGAAGGGGGCGTGACCATTACCAGAGGTGGAGCTTGGCCACGCCGGGGCAGATATAAGGGGGGCCGAACCAGAGGTTCGGTGCTGTTAGGAGTCCTGGGTCCTGGCTGCGTCGCTGCCCGTCGTCATTTCTTCGTTCTCCGACCACGTGGCTTACTTTACCAAGTGTTGTATACTTGGATGACTACGGAATGACCTATTGCTACGGCAGCTGATGTATTGCGGTGGCTAGGAGATGTTAACTACCTCGCTTGGTAGACAGGAGGTCGTGGGTTATATCCAGACCCTGACGCCTGCTGTATATTTGTAGTTTGTGTGTCTCTCTCCCCGTGGTCACGTGGATTTTTCTCCGGGCCCTCCAGTTTTTCACTCCACATTTAAAATCAACGTGCGTTTTAGAGTATCTGGCTGCTATACATTTACACGTGATAAGCCACTTCGTTGAGCTATCATTTATGGCCAGGTCGCTTCTGAAAAAAAACTATATAGCTCAGTGGGCCTTACCTGGTAAAATAAAAAGCTTAGTTTAAGTTTGTTTTAAAACGCTCCCCCGGAATTAAATGATATAACGCACCGCTCATCTCGCCACGCAAGCATACGAAGAGACGGGATAGCGGCTGACCGCTCCATTCACCCCGCCCGCCACTCACGGAGGCTCGCTGCTGGGACACCGCTCTGGCCATCGGCACCACGGAGGAAGACCACGTGGGTGGGGGGCCAATGGGCCCGAGTGGGGGGAGTGGGGGGAGCGGGGGGAGGATTGGGGGGAGCGGGGGCAGGTGAAGAGGGGAGGGGGGAGCAGGTGAAGAGGGGAGAGGGCAGGTGAAGAGGGGAGGGGGGAGCAGGTGAAGAGGGGAGAGGGCAGGTCAAGAGGGGAGGGGGGGCAGGTGAAGAGGGGAGGGGGGGCAGGTGAAGAGGGGAGGGGGCAGGTCAAGAGGGGAGGGGGGGGCAGGTGAAGAGGGGAGGGGGGGGAGGGGTGGCAGGTCAAGAGGGGAGGGGGGGCAGGATTGGGGGGAGCGGGGGGAGGGGTGGCAGGTCAAGAGGGGAGGGGGGCAGGGAAGGGGCAGGTGAAGAGGGGAGGGGGGGCAGGTGAAGAGGGGAGGGGGGCAGGTGAAGAGGGGAGGGGGGCAGGTGAAGAGGGGAGGGGGGGCAGGTGAAGAGGGGAGGGGGGGCAGGTGAAGAGGGGAGGGGGGGCAGGTGAAGAGGAGAGGGGGGGGCAGGTGAAGAGGGAAGGGGGCAGGTGAAGAGGGGAGGGGGGCAGGTGAAGAGGGGAGGGGGGCAGGTGAAGAGGGGAGGGGGGGCAGGTGAAGAGGGGAGGGGGGGCAGGTGAAGAGGGGAGGGGGGGCAGGTGAAGAGGGGAGGGGGGGCAGGTGAAGAGGGGAGGGGGGGCAGGTGAAGAGGGGAGGGGGGGCAGGTGAAGAGGGGAGGGGTTGGAAGGGGCTGGAAGGAAATCCCGGCACGGGATCGGGGCTGTGGCCGGACGTGTCTGCCCAACAGACACCCGCGCGCCTGGGACTTCTTCTTTGTCAACAGGATGCAGCGACTGCTGCCACTGACACAGCCTTCTAGCAATCCGCTGCTGGGTGAAGCCCCAACGCCTCCCTCGCCGTGTGAGTCGGCAGGGTTGTTTCACTGCGCCATACTTCACCACAACGCCCATCGCGGGCCACTCGAGGCCGCGAATCCAAACAACACGGTCCCTCAACCTGCGCCGACCGGCGTGGTGAAGTATGGTCAAACGACGGCAACCCTTCCCCACGACCCCTGGTCCAGCAGCAGTGGACGATCAGGGCGCACGGCACAAGACGTCGTCTTCCCCGCCGACTTGCGCCGCCGCTTTGTGTGTCGGGCGGCGCTGCTACGGGACCGTTACGCGCACTGCGGCAGCCTCGTCTCGTGTTCGACGACTGGACACACATCAATACAGCACATTACTGTAGAACTGAGTGTTCTAGTCAACTGTTACAATCGTACTAGCATGAATCAAAAGAACAATAATTTGTATAAAAATATTAATTTATTTTCGTCGGAGCTGGGAATCGAACCCGCGGGACTGGGTGCTCGCAGTCCCCCCCCCCCCTCTCACCTGCGGGGAGACAGGCGAACCCCAGCGACAGATGCAGCCAGTCCCAGCCGTGCCGCTCCAGCCACGGGCTGCCCTTAATCCGCGCGCTCACCAGCGTCTCCAGCTCCCTCAGGCTGCCCTGGCCGCTGCCCTCGCTGCCCGCCTCTCCTGCCCGCATTGTGTCCCGGGGGGTGGTGGTGGTGGTGGAGTCTGGGTCAGGAGTCGCGGCTCGGTGCGTGCAGCTGCGCGGCTCCCGGCTCCTTCGCCCGCCTCTCGCCAATGACCATCGCCCTCGCGGCTGGCGCGCCAGGCGAGATCTCACGAGATCTCACGAGATCTCGCGAGATCAGCACCGCCCCCCCGGCGGCGACGTCGGCCGCGCGAGGTTTCGCGGCGTGACGAGACGGTGGGAAGCGTGCGCGGCCATGTTGGGTGGGGAGGGAGGACTGGCAGGGGGGGGGCTGGGCCATCTTGTGTAGGGAAGACTTCCACAGACTTTTTAAATTATTAATGTTTCGTAAGGGTAATGACCACGGAAAGATTACTTCCTAATTCGTGAGACTTCTTTACGAGTGTTAGCCACCGCTCACAACGCAATAGAAGAACCGTCTGACTACCTTAAGTGAGAGTTTTTGTGTGTGTGTGAACGCTTAACCCAAGATGTCCTTTTAAAAACAACGATTAATCTCGGCAGCTGTCCTTTTAAAACGTCTACAACTAAACTGCTTGCTACGTCAAACCGCTGCTCGCCCTCTTCCCTCCAAATCCAAACCCCTCCACATGCGGGCAGCGACCCCAACCCTAATCTCTACTCCTCTCCGTATCTAGAATCCTCTCCGGATTTTAACCCCTTCGATAATTTTGGCACGTAGGCTTTCGCGACCAATATTATTCATAATAAAGGGTTTTGGTGAGACCGCGTAGGTATGAATGTTGCGTCGTAACCCTCCAGTAAGGGGGATGTGTCACATAAACAACGCGCCAATGAGTGACGACTTCAGCCCACCTTGTGTTCGAGACGAAGTCCACCACATTGACAATTTGAGTGCCGTGAGGTTTCGCTGGTAACACTGTTACACGATTTATGTTCCTGGGTTGTAAGTGTTATTTTAGAATTGCTTATGCCTCAAGAGTATAGAAAATGCCTATTATTCCCCACAAACTTTGCTTTTGTGACCAGGACTTTGTGTGAAGGAATGACACAAATGCGCACGTTTTCTAATTGTAAATATGTACAATTCAAAATATCACTGGCCAGGTCACAAAATCAAAGTTTGTGGGGAATAATAGGCATTTGTGTACTTTTGAAGCATGAGCAATTGGGAAATACACTTGATATACCCATGAAAAATAAAATACGAAAAATTGCTACACAGTCTTATTAATGGAGTGGATTATCTACTTTGCTTTTGTGTTCTGGTCACAAAATCAAAGTTTGTGGGGAATAATAGCCACTTTCTGTACTTTTGATGTAAAATCAATTAGAATAGTGAAGCAACCCATCAGCTTCCCGTCTTAAATAATAGAGCAAGAAGACCCCCCCCCCCACTCTCTGATCACAATCCCGCGCCCTTCCAGCATCACCACCAAATCATCCCATTTGGTGGTGAACATTGAGGCATGGGTGCTCATCTTCTGTTTACAGCCCTGACTCAGTTGGAAGTTCCACGTTCCTATGGCGGCGGGCTATAAGTATACCCATAGGATTAACCACTGTTGACTTCCTCATAAAGTGGTGCCTATTTTATCGACCAGGATGATGATGGGCAGAGTCAACCCTGGCTGCCTGCCCGCTGCTGTGCGGTTTTCCGTGCCTCTGAATAATTCTCTCTCAGTCTTTGTAAGAGTGAACAAAAACTGTGTGGCGTGACAATTTACACATTGTTAGTGTAATGGTAGCGACCCATATCGGTCGTAATAACGGCAGTAATCTAATGCTGATTCACGATGAGTTTATTCTGCATTAGATTGTGGAGGCATCATGATTTTTTTCACGACCCTCCACCACTCGACAGAGCCAATCAACTCAAGTTGTTACGTGGGCAAATCTGCCAACTTGATTTGCTGTGTCAGCAAATGAAGCGAGCAATTTGTGTACGACGTTTCGCTGGAGATTACATCCAGCAACATCAGGTATTAACCAAAACTCGTCTCTCGCGTCCAATGCTGCTGTTGATGAATATAATTGTAATAATGACGCTCCTACTGCTGTTAATGATGAGAATAATCATACTAGTACCGTTGTTGTTGTTGATGTCGATTAACAGTGGGGACTTCTTCCTGGACGCTGGACCTGTCAATCAATCAGTTGCACGGGGTCCCTGTTGGGGCGTTTGGCCACTTGAAGAAAACGGCTGGACGAGGCCTCCCAGGGCTGCCACAGGCAGAGCGCAGCGTGTGGGGTGACACTCCCACACTGCACCCGCGTGTGTGCGGCGTGGAGAGTCTCACTCGAGCCATAACTCATCTACACCTACGCTGATATGCCTTGCGTCAGCTCGTGATTCATCATCAATTTAGATCGCAAATCAAAGCGAATATTAGAGGTTATTATGAATGGTTTTAGTAAGTCTCGGTTTGGGACGGACCATTGTGCCATGAACCTGGCACCCTGAGTTCGATTCCCATTCAGTCGCGAGTGGTATCTCTACCGGTAACTATACCCCCTCCGCTTCCTCCTCCTCCTCCTCCCACCTTCACCAGGCTGCACTGACCGGCGTGGTGAAGTATGGTAAAACAACCCCCATCACTTACCGGCAGTGCTTCATTCAGCAAGATCAAAGCAGTGGGTCAGTGCGAGTCGAAATTCACGCGTAAATGGTGCAACTGATAGTGGCGATGATCAGCGATAATTGTCTTGAAGTGCTAAACACAGCGACCTCGTCGTACCTGTTTACGAATAAGCTCCAGAGCGTTCCTGAAGGAGCTTTCGACAACCTCGTCGACATGCAAAATATGCAGCTTCACGACAACCCCTGGGATTGAGGCTGGGCTCGCAAGAGCCGTCCCTGGCGGCGCCTTGGGCAGCTTTTCTCCAGCCCTGCTTTTGGTAAAGGAACAAAGGGCCGAGGACACTGTTCAAGAGGTCATCCCAGACAATTCTAGGGCCGCTTCAGAGAATCGTCCCTGGTGTTAGCCGTGAGCGGGAATCGAACTCGGGTCTCGTAGAGCAGCGCGCTCATCGCTACAAAGACAAAGATCCCCCGTATAGCCTTGAAAAGACTGTAGGAGCAAGTGCTGTTAGTAAGCACCTATGAAGCCCGGCACGGCACACGAGGGGGTGGGTGGCCAGCACCACGCCCGGCCGCCTTTGTCTCTCCAGTGGTGATGTTTACACACCGCACCAGGTACTCATTTGAGACTGAGTCGAAAGAGGGGAAGCCCAGGACTGATTCACATAATTGTCACTTGTGTCGACCGTGAGCGGAAATCGAACTCGGGTCGCCGGGTTCGTAGCACAGGGCGCTAACCACTACACTACCGCACACACACACAGACAGACACACGCACACACACAGACACACAGACAAACACACGCACACTCAGAAGGTCTCGCCATGTGAACCACCGCTCTCTACTTTCACGTGGGGCACACACATTACTATTCCAATTCAAATGGGCGCCTCACTACGTCACTTGGGACGCCTTTAGCAATCATCAGGCGTGTACAGCGTGAACGGGAAGCAAGGTGGTGAATGTGGAAATGGGATGGCGTGGGCCGTGGTGAGCTGTGTAGAACGGGGGAAGGGAGTTCGTGGGGAGGTTATTGATTCTTCACCCGACAGCTTCGACCGCAGGGGCTCCGGGCGTGGGGAAAACCCGTGGGGAGGTTGAAACGCCGCGCGTCCTGCAGCTGAATGGTGTGCAGCTGCAGCTCGGTGAGTTTCGTCAGACTGTCAAACACCCTGGGCGGGAGAGACTTGAGCTGGTTATAGTTCAGCTGTAGGAGACGAAAGCTCGCGCATTCATAACAACGGTGAACAAAGGGCCATTGAAGCCTTTCGATGAACAAGGAGACAAAAGTACTCTGTTAAGCTCTTGAATACAAAATTATATTTATATATGTATACTTGACAAATATACATGAGAAACACACTCCAGCACGCTGATGATTATGAAAATATAATATATATAACGTGGATAGTGTCATTCATCATACAAAGTGTATGCATACGGAATTTTAGAATCAGTGGAATTTTTTTAATTAAGCCTCTATGAAGCGAAAAGGAATAAAGAATTACACAAATATGCTTCCGCAATATTTTCATTGGTGTAGACTCATTGTTCAATTATGGGCGAGAAAAAGAGATGGAAATTTTAACATTACAATAGCGGGAGATTTTTTTTTTATATAGCACTAACAAACAATTGACCCATCGACTCCGGGAGCAATGCTGTTTTGAGCCGTTCCCCAAACAGGAGTTGAACTCACATCAAGCACTCCAACCATAATGACACCCATCCTGGGCATTTGCATCAGTAAACAACGCGACCTGGCAACAGTAAAACAACCCGACCTGGCAACAGTAAACAACTGAAGACACTCGATTATAATCATCAACAGGAATGTAGCGGTTCGCTAGGGGCCGAGGTAGAGGCGTGGCATCAACGAGATCGGTCGCTACGACCTCTTGACCTATACGCCGAACTTCACAGACGATGATGAAGTTACCGCATTCAGCTTCCAATCTGAACACCAATCAGCTGCAGAGTATCGAAGCAGGCCTCTTTGACAAGCTCACCAACCTACAAACGCTGGACCTGCAAGCCAATCAGTTGCAGAGTGTTCCTAACGGCAGTCAGCACCACGGGGAGAACGTTTGGACTGATGACTGTTGAGGGCCAAAGGGCTCTGTGCGAATTCCTACTTCGGTGGAATTCAGTTTGTGCGGAATCTCGTACATGCGGCCTTATCTATTGCTATCACAATTCGTTCTGTGCGGTTTGAATTCACTCATCTGCGGCTATGCGGTCGGACGTGGACAGCATTGTGTGTGTACTGTGTATGCTACTCGGCAGGCAGCTGTCTCGTGCGGTGCATTGTGGGTTGGGTAACTGTGCGCTCCATGCTACGCAATTTCTGTTTGTGGAACGCATCTACCAGTCCATGCACTGCTAGATATACAGTAGGTCTCCCCACGGCTAAGGGGATTGTTTGACCATACTGCTCCACCCTGGTCAGTGTGGGCAGATGTAGAATTCGACCAGGACTACAAGTCATTAGGTCATCATAATCATCATCGTGGATAAATATTGACAATTATG